GAAGAGAGAGAGAGAAATGAAACCTCTATGGCAGATTTAATCTGCGAAAGAATGGTTGGGATTTTCCGGATGACCTGCTGATAGGTGAGATTTTTAGAGAAGGCATGAGACAGATCATTTTGTCCAATGTCGAACGCGTAAAGCGCCTCTTGAAACCCATTCTCACTGGGCAGAGAGCTTCCTAAACTTGCATCTGATAAAGAAAAACATTATGATACTAATAATTCATGCATAATTTGATAATTTCTAAACAATTGAATTTCTTTTGTGCAAAATTTTGAATTCTGAAAAGGTAAAAAGGAATTCAGTCAATACTCCTATTTATCATCTATGAAAAGACTACTTTTTCCTAAGTTAGTTCATACTTTACAAATCTTTTCAAACTATATAAGTTAATGTTTGAAGGGGCTATAAATTTTATGTATTTATTAAAAATTACCAAGGATAATATTATTTAAGGGAGAACAAGTTACAAAATCATTAGTGAGGTTCAGGTATTTTCTCAAAAAAAATATTAAAAAATATCTAAATTGCTATTGTCCAAGAATGGGAACAAATATAGACTTCAGTAATTTGATCGGCTCTAATACTCCCATTAATTGGTGGGGGATTCTTAAATGGATCAAATTACTAAAAATGCTCTTGTATGTAGGATTCCCAACCTTGAACAAATGCATTTTGAGCAAGTGAAGATATTTTTTGATGATGTACCGGAATGAAATATAAATTTTAAAATATAATTTTTATTATTAATTGGGATGTTTTTTTATCTGAAATTACATTTCGATTGATTTTAGGCCTGCTTAAATCTTATATGAGGATATTCTTTGCCATTACTTCCACAAGGTAATCCACGAGTTTAAAGTTAATCCACCCTTGGTTAGTGGGAACAAGAACTAAAATAAAAATAAATAAATTACCAAAAAAGAAAAAGGAAAAGCAGACAGAAGTTTATATTTCACTAGCAAGAAAAATGGTGTAATGCGCATTTTTTAAAATGAAAAAATTAGGACATAATCTCCATCAACATAACCAAACCATCTACTGAACCTACAAACTCTTTAGTGGTTGCCACATATGCACGAACCTCCGTCGTGCTTTATCTATAATATATAATAGATATTGTAATTACCAAAACTCCGATCTAATATATGATTATTTAAAAAATACTTTGATTTTTCTGAAAATTAAAAGGTATGCGTTCAACATAACTTCAAAAAAACTTTATTTTTTAAATTAATAAAAAATTATTTTTTGAAGAAAATGAAATATTAGCATAACATATTATTTTAAAAAATCTTTTCGAAGAATTTTGAAAATCGCCTTCAAAATTTTATTCTTTGTTATTTTTTGTCAGTTTGCAATCCAATAAATCTCCCTATTAGAGGAAAACTAGGTATAAATATTGATTTATGGGTGAGGTTTGCGTAAGGGATCAATTTTAATGCGCTTTACTTCAATATTATAAGGTTTGACATGTTATATAAACTTTTTTATTGATTTAGTAGCTGATTACTTACATTTGTAAATCAACATTCTTTTTATTGTTTAAAGTTGCTACACGCTGAACCATCATCTCTTGCCCATACAAAATAATATCATCTATTTTTTGGCTCCAATCTGAACCAATCACAACTTTTTTAACTCAAACAATTATTGGATGCTCTGTTTTCTATGTCCAATTTTTACCTAAACATGAATTAATTCTGAAAGTTTAGATTAAATATAAACTATAGAAATAAGAAAAGGAAAAGGTGCAAACCTTTCTTAATTAATTGGAGGGTGCGAGTTTTAAATCTGAGGAACTGAGACACTTGAATGTTGAGAGCGAAGGGTTGGAATGGTGGCAAAGTTGCTGAACCCGCAATTGCAAAATTTGCTCCGTTTTTGAAATTGGGCGCCAAAGACTCCAAATATGCACTCAAATAACTCGCATTCAAACTCTCACCTGCCAAACACAAATACCATCAATACTAAGATCACATCAATGTTTAAATTTTTTTTTTTATCCGGATTAGACTATTCTCATTTGAGTCGGGAATCATCCCACCCAAACCGGTTCTCGATACCAATCATGTTTCCCCTCGAATCTGCGTCGCGTTTCCATTGTAGTGAATTGTCGATTCGCTACAGTTGAATTGGCAATTCCATTATTCGGGCACCAACAATGCGGTGTGTCATAGGTTTTCGTGCTTTTGATCCACTTTTGGTGCCTTTCGATCCACGTTCGGTACCTTGTTCAATGAATTATTGCTCTGAAATGATTGAAAATTGCTTCTAAAACAACTATTTTATTGATTTTGAGAAGCAATACGAGATTTGCAACCAGAATAAGGGTTTTTTTTAAGGTTTTGTAGAAATCCGCCTTCCAATCGATTTCAGCGTTGGTTGTAACCGAATTTCATAAATTTTGGTTTTATTTGAAGATAATTGAATGCTACACGGTATCCTAGTGCTAATTGGTTATTGAACTAGGATTTCCCATTGATTTTGCTTTCAAATCCAAGAAACCAAAATCGAAGAAAACGATGTAAATTTGAGTTAATTTTCATCAAATTTGAATGAGGTTTGTGATATACAGAGCTTTAGCACTCATTATTCAGGTAAATTTTATTTCATTTTTTATTGTTTCTATAAGTTTTTTTGCACGAATGTTCCACAGATCAGTGTTCCTCCATTTCAATATGTTCTCTCTCATATTTGCCTCAAATTTCTTGAAATTTGATTCAAAATGATCGTATTGAACCTATTTTCCATATTACAGATCCAATACAATATATAGAAATAAAAAATAACATGGATTTTGGTTTAAAATGGGGCCCAGTTTTTAGGCTTTTGAGAAATCATTTTTCAAAATTAATAAATTTTTAAATAAAATTAGGGCTTTTGATGCATATGGTGTGTGATTCAATATTCTTTTTTATTTTCTCAAATTTCATGTCATTATTTTCTATTTTTTTAGGGAAAATTTATTTGAAGATTGTTTTTTAATGTTATAACATCAAAATTTATTAAGGGTTGTAACATCAAAATTTTTTGAACTTTGGTTATTGGGAAGTCGTTTTTAATTTTTTTGAATCATGTTTGATGCATTATAATAATATTATATTATAAATATACTTTAATAATCAAATGTTGTATTTTATTTTTCAATTTTTCTATATTATAAATTACATAATGTTATTTTTTTGTTATAGTTGTGACTAATAATTTTTTAAATTAGATGATATTATAAGACAAAGTGGAGATTTATCATATTTGTATAGTAAAATAACTATAAAATATTAACTAATAATTCAAATTTTAAAGCACATGATTATTGTTCATAAACAAAAAAGATCCTGAATATAGGATTGTAGTTAACTAAAATAAAATGCAAATATCCAAATATGTAAAATAGTGGTCCATTCAAAATACTATGTTGTATACACCAATGAAATAAAAAAGTAAAAATCAAAATATGAAATTAATAAACTTTTCTATGTGTAAAAAAGCAACAAAATATTTAAGCAAATTCAATTCTCACATTGAATTCCTAGATGCGTAAATCTTTAGTATCATTGATTCTCTCTTGCTTTTTATTAGGATGTTATGTGTTTTAAGGACAAAATTTTTTTTCATTGACTTACTCTTCCTAACTATACCTATTATTATGAGATATAATAACTTAGTTTTTTAAAAGTATATTGCTTGTATTTTTTGTAACATTTTTTTTAAGATAACTTATTGGTAAAATTTTTGATGGAATTTTTGTTAAATTGTTATTCTGACATGTTTATCTTTAAACCACAATTCAATAATATTAAGTTAATAAAGAAATAAATTATAAAGAAGAAGTCTTTTTGAAGACTTTCAAAGATTTATATTGGTTCCAAAACTTTCATTAGAAGAGGTTGTTTTGATGCTCAAATATCTTCAAATTGATCATCTCGGCATCAAGCCATGAGAAAAAAATGGATTTCAAGTTTTGAAAATACTGTATTTTGTAATGCATTTTTGGACCGTTAATTTTCAAGATTTTCAAGTTTTCATAGATATGTAGATCTACAATATTTTTGAAGCTTTAAACTTTATAAATAAATATAAGAATAAATTTTAAGTCTATCACAAATACTTTGAATATTAAAATCACCATTTGAAGGAAGGCTCTAATTTGATTGATTAGAGCCTAGGCTGTATACAAACTGCACCGAAAAAAAAACAGGACCACACCGGCCCACCCTATATGGGCCCAAGGCCAAGCCGGACCTAGCACTGGCGTCATTTTCTTTTGCTCCCGACCTAGTTTTAGGTGTCGAGGTGGCCCGGTCCATTGCCGCCACCACCACCAGGGAAGTAAGAACATGAAGAGAGACGGGAAACCAGTGAATGTTAAAGTTGACCACAGTAAATGAACTATCCATGGCCTGGCGGCAATAGAAAATTTATCATTCTCTTCAACAAGAATCACAAATCCACCCGAATAATGGGAAATTTATCATTCTCTTCTGCAAAATCACAAATCCCTGATTGATTTTGCGAAACTGAGGAGAGTAAACCACCCAATCCAATGTGGTAGTGAATGATGGAATCATCAACCATCAATCCTTCTCCAATCACTCAAAATCTCTCTCTCCTCTCAACCAGGGGAAGGGGAAAGGGGAATGGCAAGACAGACCAATATGTTTTTGTGAGAGATAATGCACTTAATATTTCTTTATTTGGAGACAACCATAACCTCGTAAACAATGGCGTGCTATTTCACTCTTCTCTATAGCCAAAATGGTAGACAAATTCATCAAATTTTCTCAAAAATCGCTTCAATTTTCATGAAAAACTCAAAACCCATCTCTAATTTGTCATTAAATATCAAAAGAAAGAGAGAGCAAAAATACTTACAGAGAAAATCAATGGCCAGGCGGCCGTCGCAAAATCGACCGGTGGGCTCATTGAAAAAGGTCCTGCCATTTGGAGGCCCAACTGGTAAGCCAAGACCAGCCAATAGTCCCCCCGTATCTGAGTTTGAATCACCAAAATTGAAGATTATGGGCTCCTTCCCATTGCATCTCTCTCCTATTACTAAGCTCCATGAAATGAGAGAGAGGAGGTACAAAAGAAAAGTGGATATGTGGCTTTGAGAGCCCATTATTCTCTCCTAAACAAATGGGGCAATGGTTTTTCTATACAGGGTGGGTGCACGAGGAAAAAGGTCTCTAACCTAACAAGAGGAGGGTACCTCACTCATTTGCCTTCTCTCTCTAGAAAAGTTGTCTCTCATTTTCTCTCTCTAGCTTTTCTTACCTTTCTCATCTTATACTCCTGCTTTTCTTCCTACAATGAGTTGTTCTCCACTCCTCTGCGCATCTTGGGTTAATTTTTAGAGAGAGAGAGGATGAATCTTTAAGGTAGAGAGGGAGGAAATACAGAAGAGAGATTGATTGTATGGAGAGAGATTTTAGAGGAAGAAAAGAAAGGGTGAAATCACATTATTCCGGTAAAAATATTTACGGTTGTACCCTTGATTCAAAACATATTTTATCCGAAATCTGGTGGTTATTTAATGGAGATGACGAAAATAGCAAGGTGCTCGCTGGCTAACCTGCTGCTTTGTTTGTTTGTCGCAGTACGAACCGTTCTTTCAATACAAATCCTAGAGAGAGAGAGAGAGAGAGAGAGAGAGAGGGAAAGCAAATGTGAGAAAAAAACAGAATTAGAGAATGCCACTCGGACCGATTAATCGTTACTCGCTCCATGCCCGAGATTATTACTCGGGTTGAGTCTCCGTAGCTCGGTTCGATTGGTGCTATAACTCGGTTCGATTAGTGCTACGCACTATAATAGCAAAAAAAAAACATAAGAAATCTAAACAAAGAAAAAGTATATGTTTAAAGTAGGATTAAACAAAATATTTCAAAATAATGTTAAAAAATATTTTTAAAAAATCAACTTGTGATTAGGGGTATTTTTGTAATAATCCAAAAAAGATAAAAAAAAAATGTACAAATTAGTATTTATGGCCAAAACACTTTCCAATCTTTGTCAAAATAATAGAAAACACTAAAAAAACATATCCCAAATAATTTTTTTATTTTTTAGGATTTTTAATTATTTCTTTTGAATTTTTTTTAAATATCCCTAAGTTGGACACCCAACTCGAGCTCAACAAGGGCACAAGCCCAAGTAACTCGGCCGAGTAGAAACTTCTCGGCCAATTTTGACAAAAAAGTGACATATGGCTCGTGAGAGAGACATTAAGAAGTAAAAAAAATACAAAGAGCAACAGGATGAGAGACTATATAATTCATGTAGCCGATCCCAAATAATTTTTAAAAAAAAAAAAGTTTCGATAATAATAATGATAAGAAAAGGTGGGCCATACGAGGGTAGAGGATAAGAGTTCATGTCTTAAAACCTGAGAGAAGTAGCAATGCAAAGTCTCCGACTTGAGAGCGAGAAGAACCCAAGAGACAGAGAGGGGTGCGGCCGAGCAAGGTAATAAGAGTGTTAGGTATATATATGGGGATAATTTTACATGTGGAAAGGGATAACATTTGGATTTTTCTCCTATTTTTAAATCTAAATAATTTTAAAAACTGAAAAATAATACATAAAAAAGAGACATGGGGCATGACATCTTATCCGGTGGAGAGTTAAGTATACGATAGAGAGATCGGTGTATTCCCGACCAAAAATTGTTTTGTGAGCCATCGGATTCACAAGCCCACACATTCATAAACATCCATCTTTAAGATGAACATCCACAACTAAAGATTTTTATCCAATAGATAGGATTTTTTTTTAATAATTTTTTTAAATATATTTAATTTTTTTATATTCATGATCATCATAGTGTAGATCATGGATCACTATAAATTTGGATCCAAGATCGATACGGGTGTTCAATGTGTCGGGGGACTCATAAAAACTAGGTCCATTTCGGACTCACAGAGAAAAATATTGACTAAATTTTTATTTATAAATTGTTTTATACGGGCTAGACACATTGCAATCTCGACCGTCCAAATAAGTTAGATAGTGGACAAAATCCGTAGCTATTTTAATTAGACAATGGATGTTTTATACGGGCTAGTGTGTCCAAACTTCATCGTTTGCAAAAACTGGGGACTCTCAATTTAGATTGCCCATCTAAATCAAGAATTAGTTGGGATCGTGCCAGTTACAAGATAGCATTGATTTAAAAAATGTCGGGTCGGCATGAAAATGCCTGATCTAACCCGGGAATCAGTCACTCCGTTTTGTTTATGCATATATATACAAAAAAAAAGCTGAATCTAGAAGGGAACCGGCGGTTCCACACTAAAAAACAATGATTCTCGATGATAAAACGACGATATGAACTGTCGATTCACTAATTTAGACCAGTTTTTAGGGTGCTTGATTCGGGTCACCGATTTGTTTTTTAAATCACCGCAAGATAGTATCAATCTCAGTCTAATTCATCTAAAAAACCCTCTTCTTCATGTTTTTTTCTTTTTCTAAATTTATCTAATATTTTTTAAGGGTTTACATAAATCCTCCACCTCATAATCATCTATTTTAATTTTTATATTATTTATTTTTTCTAATATTTTTGGATCACCAATTCATATTGATCGATCCAACAAACCAACATAGACATGTGGGGTGAACGATCTGGAAGATCCTAATGTATAAGGAGTAGGACCCGTGCTAACAAAGTTGTGGGGCCACCTCGCTGCCCAACGCTCAAGACTAGCAGAGACAAAATCGGATTCGCATGGAATTGCCAGATTTAAGATAAGGGTGCGGTTTGTATAGAGCCCAAGCACTAAACAATCAAATTATTGGACCTATCTTCAAATGGGATAAAAAAAAATAGTTTCAATGTTGGAAATATTCGTGATAGCCTCAAAATAGATTTTAAAAAATAGTGTAAATTGAGCAGATCTATGACAACTTGAAAATCTGGAAAATTGACGGTCCAAAAACACACTACAAGACGCACTATTTTTAAAACTTGGAATCCATTTTTTTTTCACATGCATCTTGATGTGGGATGATCAATTTAAAGATATTTGGGCATCAAAACAATTTCTTCCAGTGAAATTTTCGAGGTAGATTCAAATTTGATTGTTTAGAGTCTTGGCTCTATATAAACTTTTCCCTTAAAAAAATACTATCTATTTTTTCACCAGATACTGAATTCACCATTTTTAAACTCTCTCGATTCTTCATCAAATACCAAAAAAAATAGTGTAAAAATTTTAATGTTTGAAAATATAACCGAAATAGAAGAAATCGAGAGTCTTAAAGCATGATAATTTTTTTAAACTAGAACTGAAAATCTTTTATTACCATCTCATTGTTTCACCAAAATTTGTGTCAAATTTGTCTGAAAGTGTTACTATCATACATGTCTAGGAAATCCCTAACAAATTTTTTGCAACAAAGCAAAAGTTCTCTAAGATCGATTTTGTTTTTTTTGGGTCATTTTCTTTGATTCTCCTTTTTTTGTATCTTTTAACTTTTTCTTTTTCTTTTTCACAATGTTAAAAAACTTTATTAATTTCTTTTATCTTTTTCTCTCAAGAAGATCTAAATCATTTTTTGAATATGTATCTCTTATCAGAAGAAATCAAAAGATGATTTTTTTTTAAGCTTTATTTTTTTATTTTGATTTAAATAGATGTTGTTTTGAGTTAAATTTTTTTAAGTTATTTTTCATATTGGTAACAATTTCTCATTTGTAAGTGTGTTTTCTATTTTTTCCCCTATTTCTTTCATCCCCTAAATTTTTGCTTTTTTTTTTTTAGCTTTATTATTATTATTTTTATTTAAATAGATGTTGTTTTGAGTTAATTCTTTTTTTAACTTATCTTTTCATCTAGGTCTCAATTTCTAATTTTTTTTTAAGTGTGTTTTCTATGTTTTTCCCCTATTTCTTTCATCCCCTAATTTTTTTTTTTTCAAGTATCATGCATCGCCTATTTTACTGCCTTGGTAGGCAGACCTAACTTCAACCTGGTGGATGACAAGTTCCATCCATTGGTTTGAGTTGCTAAACAATAACAAGGCCGATATTGAAAAGGCTGTTAGAACACATAGATGAGAATAAAAAATTAAACACAAAACCTAAGATAACATTTCTCATCAAAAAATATAATCTTTTTCTCAATGTTTCAGATAAGCAATTAAAATTAACTGGCCGTCATGCCACAACAATACAATATGAACCTCCCCAATTGTATTGCTCCAAAAGACAAATATTATTGTCATAAATAGAATTTCCTACAAAAATGTTAGAACTTATTTATACATTAAATTCAACACTACATAGATTTTTAACAAATATACAGGGATATAATTAGGAAAAGTACATAACGACACCATTTATTTTTGGTACACGATGGTCACAATTAATCTTGACTGTTGGATGTGAATTTGGATGGTTGCATTCATTTCATTGACCAAGCTCAAAGTTCAAAATAAATTTTTTCGAACTTTGTGACACACCCAAACTATCAAATGTCCCATCCGATGGTTGTAACTTATAAGTAATTGTTGTGAAAAATATAGAAAGTTGCCCTGATGTTTAGAAACAATATTGTCCTTCTTCTTATGTGTACTCATATTAGGAAGGTGGTTCACTACATATATTAGTTTCTTTAGTAGTACACAACTTTGTAACCTTATAAATTGGAGCTTTTGTTCACATATTTAATAAGCTCAATAATACATCTTCATGGGAGCACAAGGCCCAATTATACAAAAATACAGTTTCTCACATGTGAACAAGAGCCCCAATTTATATAGTTATAAAGTTGTGTACTACTAAAGAAACTAACATATGTAATGAACCACTGTCCAAATATGGGTACACATAAGAGGATGGACAATATTGTTTCTAAACATTAGTGCAGCTTTCTACATTTTCCACACTCCCACTCAAACTCAAGATGCATTAAGTGAGAGCAACTTGAGTTTGGACAACTGAGAGTAGGCGTTAGTAACAAAGCATTAACAAAAGAAGCCTGAGCAGCTGCAAATTAGCGATCATCAGAAACCAACATCTCGAACAGAGTAATCTCGCATAACAGCAAATCAACAGGCATTCGAAACAGATATGATCGAGTAATTCGATCATCAAACATGAGGCACTTGGAAGAACTAACAGGAATCATCGAAGGATCAACAAGCACAATTGGAAATTAGATTCGGAGTTGAGAACAGTAAGATCCAAAACAGGTCAGAGAGTTGAAATACGACTCAGTAGAGAGACATATCAGAGAGTCAAAACACATCTCGACAGAGAAACAGATCAAAGAGTTGAAACACGACTCAACAAAAAGACAGATCAGAGAGTCGAAACACGACTCAACAAAGTGACAGATCAGAGAGTCAAAACACGACTCGATAGATAGATCAAATAGTCGAAACACTACTCGGTAGACAGATCAGAGAGTCGAAACACGACTTGGCAGATAACTTTTGCACGTCCTTGTGAGATAACTTTTAGGTTTTTGGTTTTGCT